TTCAAGGCCGCTGCACAAGGATGAAGCGCTTCAATCGAGATATGGTTCATATATATTAAAAAAAAAAAAAAAAAGGAGAGAGAGAGAGAGAGAGAGAGAGAGAGAGAGAGAGAGAGAGAGCAACTTCAAAAAGCTGGATTACCGGGGAAGCACTCTGGATTCGAAACTTCAAAAAACAAACCAACTTCAGCTCGCCCCCTTTTTTTTTCCGAGGCCCCTCGCGGCCTCAAATTGTTGTTGTTGTTTTTTTTTGGTTCGTCACGCCACATCCCACCCCCGCCCAGAACACCCCTCGGCAACTTTTGTTTTTTTGGTCGATCCCTTATTTTCGGGGTGTGCCGCACCCCGTGCGTGCGCGTCGTGCGCGATGCGGCGGACGTGCGGGGTGCAGTGCGCCTCGATGCGCCGCAAGTATGGTTGAAATGCTTGGGCCATTTTGTTACACCGAAGGGGATCAGTCCGTTGTCGGACAAGATTCAAGCCATCCAAGAGTGGTCGGAGCCGCGGAACGTCATGGATGTCCGTTCGTTCCTTGACCTTGTCGGCTACTACCAACGTTTTATCAAGGGATACTAGAAGATCGCGGCCCACTTGACCAAGCTTCAATGCGAGGATCGATCGTTCGACTTTGGGGAGGATGCGCGAGAATCATTCTTGGTTATCAAAGCCGCATTATTGTCCGCGGAGGTTTTGCGAATCTACGACCTGCTATTGGCAACGTGCGTCACTACAGATGGGTCCGGCTATGGCATTGGTGTCGTCCTCGAACAACCCGATGGCGTGGACTGGCACCCGGTCGAGTACTTCAGCAAGAAAGTGCTCGTCGTGCACTCCATTGATGATGCACGCAAGGAGCTCTTAGCCTTCGTCCACGCGCTCAAGCGGTGGCGGCCTCCTTGGTCGGAGTCAATCCCGATGGGTAACGGACAACAATCCGTTGGTCATCTACAAGACCCAAGATACCGTCAATAGCACCATCGCCCGTTGGATGGCTTTCATCGACCAATTCAATTTCTTTCCCGATCACATTCCAGGGAAGTCTAACCGTTTTGCGGATGCTCTTTCACGACGTCCGGATCATTGTACCGCAGTCTATTTGACCTTCGAGATCGACGACGACCTGCGGGACAGCTTCATCCGCAGCTACCAAGCCGACCCCGAGTTTCGTGACAAGTACGCGAATTGCTCCTCTCCTAATCCGGCGCCTTCTCACTATCGGATCCAAGAGGGGTACTTGCTTGTCCACACGCAGGGGAAGGACCTTCTTTGCGTACCGAGTGACTCTCACTTGCGTACACGGCTTC